CAGTTCCAACGCCCCTGCCAAAGCAGGTTTCCTACAGCAGGTTGCACAAGTAGGCATCCAGATGGGCCTTGAATATCTCCGGAGAATGAGACTACAAAACCTCCTTGTGCAAAAGTCATACATAGTCATATATAATCTAAAGGCTTTTATTTTTTACATTTTTAAATTGATGACAATAATCCTCTGATATTGTACAAAGAAAGAAATGCAAGATATTAGTGTAAATGTTACTCCATCTATGTTTGTAAAATGGCATTTCCCAAGGCTTCACAGCATGAACCACTACAAAAGAAGCTTTATGCACCCAAAATTTTCCTGGGTGATAATTTTCAATTATATAAGTTGATAAAAGAATGACATTAAAATTCTGGACTTGTTATTATACCTTTTGTATAATAAGGTGATGCTATATATCTCTTAAATTGCAAGGGTCAAAATTGAATTAGGTGTGGGTTTAAGTTATAAACTAACTTTCTATTTATTTATTTCATTCACAATAGTAATTTTACTGGAATATATAAAGATACCTAGAAGGAAAGAGGATATATTTGATAGTTAAAGCAAGTAAAAAGCATCTGAAAAATATGCATCAGGATATGCACCATGAACAAATGTTTTGTTAATCCCAAACACAAACACAAATGTGTGATACAGTATGCATAAATCTGTAAGAAAACAATTTGAAATTTGCATGTTATTTATTCAGCATAACCACTCCTTTGAAACCATTAGGATTTCTCTTGTACCTAAGTATTTTCATCATTTTAAAATTTGTATTATTTACCCAATAGGCTGTAAAGAGTCCATGCAGAGCACTTACAGGGATCCATAACACAGTAATGTCTTGGATAAATCTAGTTTGGAGTCATCTGAGTGCATTAGATGATTAAAATGTTGTATAGACATGCACATTACCTGATTTGGTTTTTAAACAGTAATAGGGGAACCATTTTCCTTATCCTTCACAGCTACCTCAAAATAACAGAACAGACTTAGTGGTAGTTGATCCCATCATGTGATTATGGGAGTTCAGAGTTTAGAGAGAGGAAAATATTATTCTTTATTACACTGTAGATTTATTCCCCACAAATTAAAAGTTTTGAGCTATAAAGATTAAAACCCTCTAAAACTGCTACCTTTCTTTCAACTTGTCACTATAAGTATGAATTTCTCTTTAGCATCTAGTGACTGTGATGATTCTCTAGGAACTGTTCAAACTCACATATAACTAGTGATAGGACTAGAGGGAATGGCTTCAAGTTGTTTCAGGGGAGGTTTAGGTTGGAAATAGGAGACATTTCTTCTCAGAAAGATTGGAACTGGTTCAGGCATTGGAACTGGTTGCCCAGGGAGGTGGTAGAGGCAGCATCCCTGGGGGTGTTCAAGGAACGGTTGGATGTGATGCTTAGGGACATGGTTTAGTGGGTGACATTGGTAATAGAGTGATGGTTGGACCAGATGATCTTGAAGGTCTTTTCTAACCTTAGTGATTCTATGAATCAGATCCCACAAAATGCAGGGCTATCTGTGCTTGACTCACTTGGGGTGGAGAGTTACTGCACTTGACAGTTAAAAGAGTTGAATTAACATATTTCAGCTATTAAAAATTGATACCAAACTATTCTTTGATAATTTAAAAAGTAGAACTTGACAGCAGAAATTTGGTAAATACTATACAGTTAAGTATTAAAAAATTACAGTTGGCTTATGCTTTATCTAAAAGGAGAGAAGGAAAGAAGGAAGAAAGCAAGGGTGAAAAAGGAAGTCCAAACATGCAAATAAAGCATCAACAGTAATTTTCTTAATTCTGATAACAGCTACTGAGGTACAAAAGGCCTCAATAATTGTACCCATTTCACATTATTTTAAAATAGGAAATTACTAAATACACTGTATTCCCACAGACTGAAGTCTTCCACCCAGATCTCTCATGATGAATTCATATGATTTTGTATTGGTTTTGATGGAATTTGTTTAAGGCATCATGTTCTTAAAGTATGAAGTTCAAACAAATGTTTTTACTTCAATATCTTGTTTGCTGTTAACCCAAAAGGTGCTTACATACCACTGCAAAATACTGTTGGCAACACACTGATGTGAGAGCAGTTTACCTCTTTCACACTAAAGAACAACAGTTCAGAGCATCTTTATTAAAACACAGCTGAGATATGGGTACCTTGCTCAGTAATATCTGTCACAGCACATGCAGGTCTACACTCAGAAAATGAATAATGATCTATGTCCACTGGTAGAAAGACCTTCTCAGCAAATCTGAACAGACACCATTGTGACTCTTAAGTTAAAAAAAAAAAAAAAAAAGGAAAAACATCAGAAGATCAGAAGCATAGTCTTGTGGCAGCATAGCCAGAGAAATGTGAGATTGGCCCTTAAGGGAATTCTTATTCTCAAGTGGATGTAAATGTATTCATCAATGCAAAGAAATGCATAGTGTGTTATATACACAATACATTAATAAATAGCCGTGCATTAAAAAATAATGAGATTTTCTACAAAACAACATCCTGTGGTGTTTAGGGTCATAAAAAAAAAAAAAAAAAAAAAAAAAAGACAGTAAAGGAAGATGGGGGGGGAGATTATGTGGAAAATCTGATTAAAATACTGAAACCCCATCCTATATGTAAGATAAAATACATATTGCATTGGCTAACTGGTTAACTGTAAATAAAATAATAAGTACAGTAAAATGTAACTAAAAATGTAAAAGTATGGGGAGTGATTTATTTTGCCACAGTGATATCAATATTAGAAATAGTATGTAAATAGATATCAAGGTTCTGCTGCAGAAACAGTGGAAAATGGCTGTTCATTTTCTATAATGAGCTTTCATCCATTTCTTCTTTTTGACTTTCATTTTAAGTACTTTCAGTGATTTATGAATTACAGTGCTTTCAGCCATTGGAAAGCTCTAACAGAGCTTCAAATTCTGGTATTTTCTATCAGACAATATTTATTATTATTATTATTATTATTATTATTATTATTATTATTATTATTATTATTATTATTATTATCAGCAGCAGCAGCAGCAGCAGCAGCAGCAGCATTTTAAAGCCTGGGAAATAAGTTTACTGATAGCACAGAACATTTTAGCAGAAACGTAGATTGTTTCACACTTCTAGCTTGTCATGGAAAGAACACGAGGTATTTTTGTGGTTTGTGGGCCACAACCCTTGATATGAGAATTGAGAGAGGTGTTCTGGCTCAGCAGCTGCTGACGTACCACAGGCACAACAACTGTTTATGTGCAAAGTACACTGTCAGAACATGCACTGCTTTTCTGTTTTCGTCTTATCATACTTTGGACAATTGAACAATCTTTTAGCAAAGAACCCTCTCCATGAAGTTTTTACCTTTGAAACACGTGGAGAGCAGAGTGAGCTCTGGTTTTGCATCTGGGCTGGCACTGTTGCTTCTACAAAGTACCATGGGCGTTTTCTGACTATTAAAGACAAACTGGCTTAATGAATTAAAGAGTATCAGAGGATACTGTGCCTTCTGGTAAAATAATTGCATTTCTGCCAGCCCTGGTGTCAGGTTGTAAGTTCTTATGTGTGGCTTTGGGGTGGCATAAATCTGCAGAAATTAACAGTTTTTTCCTGTTTTTGAGATGGTACAGCAAGGATCCAGAAGATGGGACATGATGGCAACAGACAAGTTCTATCTATTTATTTAGATATTGCAGTTATACAAATACTGAAAAGGATTCCTAATTCCTATGACTGTGCACATTAGTTTTAAGTTAAAAATATATCACAAATAAAACCTTAAGTCTAGAAATGCAATTTCAGAATAACCACCACAGCTGATAACACAGGCAATTTAATAGATCAAATTCCTTCTTCTTCCAATAACTTCTTATCCTTTCAGTTCCAACTCATTTTCAAACACCCAAGGGAAAAAAAGACTACACAGCATGACCAGAAAGGCTACAAATCTGGGCTATTTTAGAACAAAGTGAGGTGAGAGGAACAGTACATTTTCTATGAAAATGTAGTTTCATCGAAATCAAAGTGCTGAAAGGAAAAAAAATGTCAATGGGAAACTGCTGATCTAAATAATTTAAGCTTTCTCACTTCATTATCTAATTCTTTGACATTACTGAAATAAAAGAATTCAACAGTACAAATATGCATTCTACTGATTCTTGATCAAATTGTTTTAATTTTTTCATTCCATAAGAAATAACATAATATCTGTTCTTTCAAATCACCTTATTTTGTTATTCTGAATTTCTTCTACCAGCTATTTTTTTTTTTTTCAAAACAATAACAAAATTTCTTCTCTACTTTTTTTTTTCTTTTAACCATATAAAAGTTAGTAGCATGTTGCAGTTCCCTCCTCAATACCAAAAGAAACAGAGCCAACCAGGATGGTTGGCTATCCCTATAGCTGTTGTTACAAACGCATGCAGAGTTCGACCTTCAGTCTTTAACATGTTTAGCTAGAGTTCCCTGGAACTCAAATACAAGACTTTTCAAGCTTAATAATGCTGTACATGAGGTCACATAGGTCACATAATGGGACCAGGGCAGGGCTGTGGCAGTCCCAATAAAAGTATATTGTGTTCCAGTTGGGTAAGAAAAGATTGAAATTTCAAAACTCTTCATAAGACTCTGATTACCAGAAGACACTTTAACATTTCATCTAAAGAACTGTGACAGCTTATTGGTTTAAATAGCTTTAGAGGATTCAAAGCAGAAGGGTGTAGAAAAGTGAATTTTTATTAAAAAGACCTTTTGGTGGGTTTGGTGATTTTAGTACCAAACACAATAGCTGCTCTGAGATAAGGAAGAAGGAAGGAAGGAAGGAAGGAAGGAAGGAAGGAAGGAAGGAAGGAAGGAAGGAAGGAAGGAAGGAAGGAAGGAAGGAAGGAAGGAAGGAAGGAAGGAAGGAAGGGAGGGAGGGAGGGAGGGAGGAAGGAAGGGAGGGAGGGAGGGAGGGAGGGAGGGAGGGGGAGGGGTGAAAAAAAAAAAAGTAATGTTTAAGACACATTGCTGAATTATTTTTGTTGGGACAAAGAAAGGAAGGAAGTTTTTACAAGCAATTTCCTGTGACATTTTCTTCAAAATAAGTAGTAGTAGGTAAGCCTTTATCAATGCTTATGAACCTGCTGAAGCCAATAGAGGCTATGTTTATGACTACTACGTGCCTGGTGATAGGATGAGGGGGAATGGGCTAAAGTCGTGCCAGGGGTGTTTTAGGTTGGATATTAGGAAGAACTTCTTTACTGAGAGGGTTGTGAGGCATTGGAATGGGCTGCCCAGGGGAAGTGGCGGAGTCACCGTCCCTGGAGGTCTTTAAAACACATTTAGATGTTGAACTTAGCGATATGGTTTAGTGGAGGACTTGGTCAGAGGTTGGACTTGATGATCTTGAGGTCTCTTCCAACTTAGACAATTCTGTGATTCTGTGATAGTATGAATAACTGATCTAGGTAGTGTGCAAATGGCTTGATAGATATATTGCAAAATCTGTCATTACAAAGTGTTCATCATTACACATTTCTTTACTGAAGGCAGAAGACACCAAAATATTTGTCAGGAACCAAATATATTTCCTAGAATGACCTCAATGCACAGTAAAGTTTACTGGCTTGTTTCAGTTATACTACCTAAGGTACTGATCAACCAAATGACTTCTCCTATGAAAAGCTCACAGTGCAGTCACTTTCTTACATGTGTATGTTAATATTATAGTGCTTTATCATTATCCAGGAGGTTGCATTCCAGGGCAATAAGCTCAGTAATATATGTGAGGGTCATTCTCCCTCTCATTTTCTTTCCATGACAAAATAATGTGTTCAGTGTGATATTTTCATTTGGTAAGATTCTTGTTCTTATTGTTTTGTTTTTAATATGTGCATACTGCTATATGTTTATATTAGGAAAAGTAAGATCTAGCACAACTTCTTGGCACTTGTTGAGGCTGCTGGTAATACTCAGCTTTGTGTACTTCAAACCCAGTGTCAAGGGTCAGCTCTCAAGACAGTTCTAAGGTGTCAACCATTGTATTCCTCCCAGGCTCTAGATCACTTTTTCAGATTTGTCAGGCTGAGGCAACAGAGTGCCTTTGAAGAAAAAGGCACAATACCTAAAGTAATTAAAATATTTGAAAAATAATAATAAAAAGTTAGAAGCAATGAAAATTTGGTTTCCAGAACTTGAACTTAACAGTATTGAGGGGAGATGTTCAAAATGACAAAAGATATCATGTAATAAGAGTATTTAACTCACCTGTGATTTTTTATGTTATATTATGTAGGTGAGCTGATGGGAGGCTTTCTATGAAAGAAAATTCATTATATATAAAGATAATTCATTATATATTTACTTTAAATTAGAATGTGAAAACAAATGCAGAAACTCTCTGTGAAAGGGAAAAAAAAAAGTCTTCCAAATAAAATTCACGCAGCCTTATTCAATGAGTGTTTCTATTAGGTACACAGTATGGCAATGTATTTTTGGCTGTTTTCCAGTCATGTTGCGGTGCTCTTGTCCATTCTGCAATATGTTCAGAATCTAATCTATGCTACTGCTCTGTTTCCTGAGAGATTTTGTATATTTGCAGTATTTAAAAAGATTAAACTTTTTCATTTGGAGAGATTAATATTGTAAAAAGAAGTCCAAAATTCTCCAATGAAGAACACATGCAATTATAAAGAAGAGAAAATTTGAATATTTGATCTTTCACATATTCCTGGAATGACTCTTTTCATTCTTGAAGTGCTTATGCGTGTGTATAACTTTGTCCTTGAAAATTTTAACTCAGATTTATTTGCAAGGATGAAATAATGAACAGCCATAAGTATTTACAGCATCAGATCTTAGTGATAAGTGGTTTAACTGTTCAGAAATGTCATTTTACTGTCTTTAAAGAGTGCTACTAGTTCACTCTACCAAAAGCTCTCACTTTTTTTTTTTTTTTTTTTCAAAATAGACATAGGGTTTTCTTCCCTGAGAACTCATTAAACAAAGCATTCCTCAGCTACCATGTTCTACCATGATGGAAAAAAGGCAAATTCTGAAGTCACTTCAGTCTGACAGAGCTTCCAGACAGTGCTACTCCTTTAAATAGAGAAGAGCTGAAGTAAGTAATTGCTTCCATACTTAAGTCATTTGTAAACCAAATTTCATATACGGACACATTTTATCATTTCTAGCACATCCTGTTTGACAAGTGCATAAGACTCATCTGGCTCTTCCTATTAACTGAATAGTGTACTTCTCATCACTGAAAAGATATTTGAAAACAGCGGTACCTTTGTTGTTATAGGCATTCTCCTTAAAGATTTGTAATTCCTCGTGTTGTTAGGAGTAAGTGATTGAAGTTGCTAAAGTACAGATTTTTATTTGGGGCATATTCTGAAATTATGCTCTTAATGCCATAAAGCCAAAACAAACAAACAAACAAACAAAAGGCAGTGGACAAGCTACCCTTAGAACTGAATTCAACAGGCAACAATTTAGAAAAGCATATAAGTCAGGGGGAAATATCCCCAGGCTTATTCTATTAATGGTAGACAATTTAAAGAGATGACTGAGGCTCATGTTAATTTTCATTATTATCATTATAATCACAATTGTTCTAATATCCTCATGTTCTGATATGTTTTTATCTCCACATCCTGTGTCTCAGTAAGTTGGAAATGTGAAAAGTTGCAGTGAAATACTGCAATACATTTCATTGCCTTTGCCCTTTACTGTGCTTTGCCATTTGATTGTCTGGCATTTTTTGACTCCCCTGTACAGGTCCAACAACTTTGGGGAAGAAAGTGGAATGCCTTCTGGAATGCATCGCCAGTCACAGTACTGAGAACATAAAAGGTTAAAGAACACCATTCAACTGTCTTCCATGGGCAAGGGTAGCTATTGAAACTTTCAAGTTTTGTTCTTGTGACAGAGTCTGCAAAGAGAACAGAAAATGCCACAACATGACTCCTTTCTCATGACAGCAGCTGTAACAAAAATGGGAAATAATACAAACAACCATTCTAGTCTTGAAATTTTTAGACAGTAGTCACTTCACCCTTCTTGGATTCTGTAGTGAAGAGCTGTCTGGCCTGTTCTCTTTAAATGAAAGAATTCACTCCATATCCTTAAAACGAAACTATCACAGTTAAGTTTGTTCTCTTGGAATACATGACGTCATCAAATCTGCTCTATGAAAAGTGACCATCTTCTAAAAGAAAAGCACACAATACAAGACTTACAGTTTGTATTTTTCTTGGTCTACCCTGAAAATAAAAATAACAGCATTTGTCCAAGAAGGAGAGGAACAACATTTACAATTTGCATTATCAGATACCATTACTTCTTGAGTCAGTATTGTAATGTAGAAGAATAGGCATTGATAATTTTTAAATGCTGCTATCCAGTAGAATATAGAGTATATAACAATATAATACTTTTAAGAGCAAAGGGAAACATTTCAAAATTAAAAAATACAATGCTTACTTAAGCCACTTAGCTTCTTCTGTGCCTTCAAAATCTTTTAAGATAATGTAGTACCAGCATGCTATAAAGATTCTTCTATCTTTAGCTCTGGATAAGTCACAGTGCATCTTGTACTCTTCTGTTGGTCTCCAGCAATGCTATCCATATCCCAGTAGTGCATTAAGCAGTGTGTCTAACACGTGAAAGTGAACTCATCTGTCTATTGTATTCTTCTGTGTAACACACTGTTTTAGTAACAGGTTTTAAAACCTAAGATTTAGCAAGGGATGGGGACTTTATTAAACTGTTGTTAGTTATATATTTAGATAAATTCATGTTATGGTTTGAAAGCAAAACTGAGAATGTAACTCAATATCTGTATTTGTGAAGTTCATATTCATAAATCCATTGCCTAACATCCAGTTGAAGATATAAAGTGTTACCAAATCAGGCTTATTCTGGTTGATAAAGACAGTAATGTCTGCAACTATTTAGTGTAGGATAAGTGATGAAGTGATTGCAAAGCAATAGACAGCTACACCATAGGCAACCTAGTGTTAGGGTTGTACTACCATAGGGAGCAGCATTTAGGAGGCAAGCAAAAGCATACTTTTAAGGCTTTTTGAACATGCAATAAGGTGATATGATAAAGAAAAAAAGTGATGTCTAGATAAATTAGGGTAATATTTATCAGTTTGGGTTCAATCAAAGTAATAAAGTACAGCATTGTGAAAAAAAAAAAATAAATAAAATTGCAATAAACAAAAGGGCTGTGAATGAAGGATCCTATGGCCTGAAGTAATTTTCTAAGTATTTCCAAGTCATTATTTGTCTTAATAGACTTAAATTCAAGCAGGCTAATACCACCACATAATTTCTCATATTTTTAGAAAAAATATAAAAGGAAAGCAGTTGGACATATCAAATCTGCAAGTATTTTTTGAGATGAGCATTATGCAGAGGAACCTGTTCTCTGCCTGTAAGGAAAAGAAACAGCTAAATTGTGGAATATGCACTGGACACTGACTGACCTCTTTAACTATATGTCATTATATCAAAATATACCAAAAAGTCTCGCTTTTGAAACCCATTGATGACAAGCAAAATCTATTTGTGAACCCTTTACTACAGAATTTTTGCACACTTCCTATTTCAATACTTCTGGGAAAGCTTTTATTTGATTAATGAGACTTATTTAACTCTCTGTTATATTTGAAAGCACTTAATGGTTTTATTTAGCATTTAATCAAGGAAACAGGTTTCTCCAATAACATAACCGTATATACAATATACACAGGATGACCTGTCTTTGGAGCAACCATATTTTTGTAAAGAAGAATTTAAGTGTTTCGTTTGAACTGAATTGTTCTTTTGAAATACAGAGCTTTGACATACAGGTCAAGATATTAGTTGAATACTTCTGAAGTAATGGCTTTCATTCATTTATAATACTCAAAATCAAAGGGTTTAAATTCTTCTTTTTACAAAAACTAACCTGATTTGGATAGTGCATTCAAAGCACACTTTATTTATGGATAAAGAAAGAATCTACAGAAAGGTATATATTACCTGTGTTCTCACTGATATAAGAACATTTTTGAGAAACCAATGCAACACAGGGGGAAAGAGAAAATCATTATAACACAAAATGTTGGCAAATGTACAAAATAAGCAAAGATGTATTGCTAAATTATTCATAGATACACAGACTTTAAGGCCAGAAAGTCAATTGTACCTCATATCTAACACAAGCAATGAAATTTCATATTAAACCAAAATGAATCTAGAAACAGCCTGTGTTTTCTAAAAAGTACCAAGAGTATCTTTCAGAAAGGCTTAAAGAATTCAGAATTGGAAGAACTTAATATTTTTCTATTTAGTTATCCTTGATGATGTGCACAAAAATATAAAATAAAATAAAATAAAATAAAATAAAATAAAATAAAATAAAATAAAATAAAATAAAATAAAATAAAATAAAATTTGAATTTGAGTCTCTTTAAGAGCAACCATTTGGTTCTTGTTACACTGGTTCTTTTCTGTCCCAGACTGAAGAGCCTTTAGTACCAGTTATTTTTGTTTATATAGGTACTTATATTCTATAGTCAAATCACTACTTGATCTTCTTTCTGATAATCTAAGCAAGTTGAACTTCATAAGTGTTATATTGCAACACATCAACTTGCAATCATTTCAGAATATCGTTTTGGCAGTTATAGGAACCCTATGTAACAGCAGGTAAAAATTTCTGAGCTATTATACTTCAAACAGGAGAAATAGTATTCGGACAATTCAGTCTGTTGACTTAGTAAGATTTCAACTAAGCAATCTAAATGAAATAAGAAGGTGTCATGTTGAATATGTTGCAGAATTACATGCCTATTCTGAAAAATATTCTGGATGTATGTTATTACAATGTTAAATTAAACAATTCAAACAAGTAAGTCAGAAAATGAAATTACAGACAAATCTTTAAAGAGAGTCAAATTCACAGTGTGACAAAGGATGAGTGCACAAGTTAGCTTGCAACCAATAATTGCTAGCTGCTTTGGGTAATTTAATTCAATCATGAATTTTTAGACAGTTCAACAGGTCCAAACGTTTAATTCAGGATCATTTCCATATTGACAGTTCTAGGACACATTCTGTTGTATATGCTCACCAGGCATAGATTTTCTTGTGATTTGTCAGTAACTTTAAGTGGCTTAGTAAACTCCAAGAGTGGTGCTTGAGTAATAAAAGAAAGCATCACTTGTCTTTAGTTGATGGCTACTGTGCTACCTTACGGAGATTAACATAAATCAGACAGAAGAAGGGAGGCCTCTGAGAGCAGGACACTACAACTGCAAAATGATAAAGCAGAAGAAAACCATCTCCTTTTGTTCTGTCCTTTTATTTTTATTTTTTTTTTTCCTTTAGTTTCCTTTTCATTAATGATGGAGATTGGAAATTTTCCTGACAATCATTGGGATGTCAGAATAAAGTGCCTCACTGTCTATTCAGCTAAAAGAATGCTAGTTTAAAAAGTTTCACTGGTAATGCCATTCTGACTCAAGAAGAATCACAATGGATCAAGATCTAGTTTTTCAAAACAGGAAGAAGGGAGGAGAGTGCTAATAAACTTGGGACATGTGTAAATAACGTAGCACTAATTTTACACATGCAACTCCATTAAAGAAGTGTTATAGTTTTGAATAAGGAAAATTTCCAAGGAAATGGGAGGGAAAAAATACAAATACCACTACTCATTCACTAGAAAAAAAGTATTTCAATTCATAAACACAATCCATGTCTTGCAGTGGTTAATCTAGATTCTTGTTATTTTGCCCTTATTTTCTCTCACAGGATTACTGAACTATAAACTCTACTTGATTCTGAGTCTAAGAATCAAATAATTTTTCCAGTATGTGGGAACATGGTATTGGAATAAGGAAAGACGAGGATCATTTAGTCATGTTCCCAGAAATGATGTCAGCCATCTCATTTTGCCTTTAAGCATAGTTGCTTGTCCCAAAAAGTGCTTCTTCTAGTAGATTTTCTATTGATTTTGAACCTATACTTATTCATGAGTAATTTAGTGCACTTATTCCTATGCCTGAACTATTGCTTAGTTAAAATGTCTTCCCATACTAAAACAAAACAAACAAAAACATAAAACAAAATAACAACAAAACACTCTATCCTTTCTGCGGGGCATGGTAAGTTAAAATCATTATGTTAACACCTTTGTACATCTCTTAACTATGACTGCTATTTTTCGGATTGTTTTAAGAGGAATTTACTGATACTAATACACTGTAGTTTTAAATTGTACTAGAAGAGCACCTGGAGTACACAAAGAACCACAGTACTAACATGGCAGCACAAAAAGAAAAAAAAAAAAAAAAAAAAGGAAAACTCAGCTTTTATTAAAATATTTTAACCATTGCTTCAGAAATTTTACCAGGTCTGTAGTAAAGCTGGTGATGTGATTGTAGCAAAGTTAAAACACCCTTAGCTAATACAAAATGCATGTTCAAGAAGCTATCATGTGCTATATATCAGGTTTTTTTTTACCATTCCATGTACAGTTGCATTGACTTTAATACTACTTGAATATATTGCATACATAACATACTACCAATTTATAATAATATAGGATACCTTGGCTTCAGCACAAAGTATATATTGCTGCATTTAAAATAATCCCAGTACATATTTCTAGTTGCTTGGGATATGTATCTACTTTGATGTAGCTAAGGCATCTGAGTATCCTTTTCCTTCTCAGGAGATGAAAACTAATCATCAAATTCTGCTCTGAGTTATATCTATGAAAATCCATTAGTTTCAATGGACATGCATTTGTGAGAACAGAACTTGACCTAATAGGCTGTGTTCTTCTTGTACTTGCATTTATTTTCCCAAATCCTAAAAAATGCACAAAGTCAATAAAAGCTAGAGTCAACAAAATAGATTTGGGAGATAATACCCATTCCACCAATGCAAACAAATATAAATAAATAAAGAAAGAAAGAAAGAAAGAAAGAAAGAAAGAAAGAAAAAGCTTGAACAATCCTACTCATTTTAGCAATGTTCATTAACTCCAAGAGGAAAGTATCTGGAAAAATAAAAGTTATTCTAAAGAAAGAAAAAAAAAATCATAAAAGAAAGGTTTCTATGTCACAAAAAATGAAGGCAGCCACTGCAACAGCAATGGTAAGAAGTGCTTCATCATCTCCCACTAAGCACAATAAAAAGCAGGGATTTCTAGATAATCTCTTGGTTTTAGAAAAACAAATTCTTATTCTATTAATCTACTGTCATCATTGTTGCAAAAAAAATGATTTCAGTCCATACTTCGGAGCGAGAGAGATTACCAAGAAAAAGTCACTGTATTCACGTCTTTTTCTTAAACTGGTGACATTATGACATTTGAAGTAAATAAATTGTGTGCCTTCTAGCTAAAATGTAACATTTCATGAATGACATTGACACTTTAGGTTCATTAGGGTTCGTATTTGATGATACTTTTGTACCTGGTGGGAT